GATTAAATTATATTATTATAATTATTTTACCTTACAGTACTTTTGTTTTTTAAACATTTGTTTTTTTAAAAATTTGTTTTCTAGTAGTACCAAGATGGTAATGTTACTTTGTGAATCAGGGAGCTATATAAACCAGAAGTATTCTGTTAGCTTACTACATTTTATGTTGCAGATGGCAGTAAGTTAGTAAAGAAAGAAAAGAAAAAGCAAAAATAAATAAATAAAATAAAATGATTAGTGAGGGAAGAGCAGCATAAAAAAAGACACTACAAATTATTCATAATTGTGATGGGAAACAAATACTTGTTGGGAAGTAAAATTATTGCTCAGAAAAAAATTACAGCTTAGAAAAAAAATTACAAACTAGGTGGAAAGTGTTAATTTATTACCATTATAATGGACATTTTGTACTTAAACATACCTCGGTTTATTCTTCCTCTAGTTGAGCCAATTTTGGGGGGGTGGGGGGCTTCAGTCCTATACAGTCAGGTTTTTGGCCAACTATGATACACACAATAACGACTGGGGATAGGGTGTCCGTGCTACACGGGCATGTTTTGTCTTCACGGCAAATCTGACCAGAATGCCGTAGACATGCCGATTTATACGGTTCAAGCTACTGCTTTACAGTAGAAAAAAATGCTTTTACATTTTCCAGCTCTTTCAAAGCTTCGAAACGTTTTCTATGGATATCCAACTACCAGAAACAAGAGAAAAAATTCCGTGTCATATGCACCTTTAAAAAAGGTCTTGTATGATATATTTTGCAACTGTCGGCGGATTTTCGATACTTACGGTCAATGGGTCTTAATGCCCCAACAAAAAATGCTCTTACAAAACATTTATTATGGAGTTATAATCTTAGCAACTATCTTTGCTCTCCGTTTGTGACACTTTCTCATTTATGTTTTTCTTTAAGGTCAAATGTGAAGATTATCTTCGTGAGCATGAGAAAAATTTAGAAATTAGAAAATTAGAAATTAGAAATTTTACAAATTAGACTAGCAAATTTAGACTAGCAAATTAGTTAAGAGGATTTTACGTAAGCAAGCAGGCTATAGTAACAAACATAACTTTATAGCACGAAACTCGCAAACATTCCTCAAAGCTCTACGTTAATCAGGCTTCACATAGAATCACAATGTCAGGAAAAATTGCAGAGGTATGTGAACTACTAATATTAATCGGGAATTCCGAAAATTCTGCTGTTACAGAATTAAAAGATTCAGAAAAATAGATGAAGACTGGTAGGCAATAACAACATGGCTTCGCCGTTTCTTGGGAAAAGCTTAAGAAAAATTGATAGTAGAACGAATTATGGATTAAAACGGATTTTTGACATGCAACATGCAAACACTCCTGAAACTCTGCGAGCACTACAGGGAACAAATCGAGAACAAATAGGATATCGAATATCAACAAAACTGGCCGAAGATTTGTGAGTACTGCGTTATGCGAAAAAATGAGGAAGTAAAAGTATCTAGCATCTCGTGATTGGAATAAATCGTAAATCGCGAGGGAGTTAATAGCCTTTGCTTTAAATCAGTTGGGTAAACCCAACAATAGCTATGGCATGAACCATTTTTAATCCCAAAATTATTTTTTCTATCTTAGAGACACAAATCTCGCATAATATATAGTGGAAAACGTCCAATTATTAGGAGCTTGCCTTTTGTTCCTTAAAGGGATCCCGCTTTATGAAAATATCGCACATCATTTCCTCTCCTTTCAAACAAATGAGGTAAAAGATATTGAGGGTGACTCTTAAACTTCAGAAGTGGGGTAGATGAAGGTGGGAGGGCGGGGGGACGGGGAGAGATGGTAGAAGTGTCCATGTTCGTGTCCAGAGAAAAAAACAAAATATAACCGAACTGCCATAGCTCAGTCAGAGCGGCTGCGGTCGTGGTTAGCTTACCATGGTGATCTCCAGTAATCGCAGTAAAGCAAGCGTCAGAAATTACATCGTCCGCCCTTATTTATCCTTACATTTTAATTCCTCCAACTCTCTATCTAAAAGCGGCGCGTCCAAGTTTGAAAGAGTTTGGGCTATTTTGTCAAAAATGCAACGCGAACTGTTGAATAGCTGTCACGACCCATTGAAAGGCCTTTAAAAAGGTCTGGTATGATTTCTTTACAAATCAAAATATACATCATATTAAAGGACTTTGTAGTTTAATTCCTTAAAGTTTCTTTCTTGGCCCGCCATAGGCAGGACGTCCAGCTTGAAAAGAGCTTGAAAAGGCTAAAAAATGACAAAAAATGTGATGCGATCCGTTAAACGGCTGTCACGCAAGAGGTCATGTATTTGATACATTAATATTCCTGGCCAAACTACGTTATTGCGGGCTTATCGAGAACGCGGTTAGAGGAAACATCTGAGGAAGATTTTCTATCACGGTGATTAAATCCTAACCAGTTCTAAGGTATACTCATCGGCGAGCTACTATTAGTATATAAAAGAAAAAAGAGAAATATATTTTCCTTCTGAGATACCCTAGATAGTTCCCTTACTCTCACGACTTGTTTCTTGGATGTAGTTTTGGATTTCTAGACCATCTGACCTTGGTTAGATTTGGTACTCATTTTCGACAAAAAGGATACTTCTCATTATGATTACTTCAACTGTTATTTTATTATACTTTGGATCAAATACAAAGCTATCAGAGCCTCAGCTTCTGAAAGTTATCCGGCTCTTCTGAGGGGGACCAAACTTTCTAAACGAACTTAATTTAAGATATAATAACAATAATAATATAATAATATACGTCAATTGAAGCTCCCCCTTAGGGGCTTTTCAGCCTCAATGTAGACTAACTAAGAGCTTAAAAATCCCCTCTGGCAGGAGGCAGACCAGTGGCCTATTTACAGAGCACAGCCGAGGAGTTGAACTAGGGGAAACCAAGAACAAATCCAGTGAGTGGCAGGGTGGAGGACTTGAACCCGGGACACCGGATTACAAGTCCAGCACCCTAACCACTCCTCCTATACACAGATCTAGCTAGACTGTAGAAAAAGACTACGATGGTGACTCAGATCTCAGAGGCTTCAATACCACTTTCATTGTTATTGCGAGGCTGAACATGAATATTTCTTGGCAAAACGATACTCCCATCAGTTTCATTCACTTGCGAGCCTCGTTTTATGATCGTTCCTTCATCTATGGTTGGGATGACGCTATTGATCCTTCTTTTGAAGTGAGATCTGATCTGCAAGGATAAGTTGAAATCAAAACGATTACAAGAGTTTTAAAACTGATCTTACTCTGAATTGGATCGATACAACCATCAAAGTTAATTTCTTATTTCAAAGTCGAAGCTTAGCCAGAAAGAAATCTGAACAAAGGTACAAATAGAGCTTAGAACAACACTGAATAACATACCTCTGAGTTTCTTACGCAGTGAAGGAGAAATATTAAAAGCCCTGTTAAATCATAAAGTGGGATATCAACTTAACGCCTGTAGTATAACTTTTTTTATTGCCTCTGTAGACTCAGAGAGCTTTCATCCACGCCCTCCACCCCCAGTTCCCTCAATATGCAATTTTATGGACAGCAAAATGTCCAACTTACTGGTATTAATCACAAGTTCTCTATTTTGTCAGGTTGCTTTGACTAAGTTTACCACCTAGTAAACTACTAGGGTAGACGTAGCAGAAGTTATTGCCTTTACGGAGTACTAAATTAAATATCTTAAAATCAATATTATAAGATCAATAATATAACGTCAATTTCATAAGATGAAGAAAACCGTCATCATTGTAGGTTCACGATCGTGAGATTAGTTTTATTAAGGGTTTTTTTTTCTATTCTGAAAATTGAATTTCACTTTTTCTTGTCATTGTAAAGAGCGATCGGTATTTTTATAGACAAAATCAGAATCTTGATGATCTGTGTCTCAGTTGTTTTTTTTTCTCTTACGTTAACGTTCTTTTCTTAAGAACGATATAGATGTTAAAAGCCCAGTAGCCGTGTGGGATCTATTTTCCGAGCATGTGGTAATGGGATATAACTTTCGCTTTAAAAGATAGGTGAGTATCTGAAAGGCCTGGGAACTTGTGTTCTATTATGAGTAGAGATACACTCTGACTACTGACTTCAACTTTGGTGAGATCAATTAAAACAGAAGTACCCCAGGTAGCTACCTCGTGTTGAACGGAATTCATTTTGTAAAAGCTGTGTTTAGTTTACCTGAGTGGAGTTGAAAAGTGTGAGAATGTAGGCGACCGCTTTGTGTAAGGGTAACAGAAGACCAAATAGCCACGTAATCCCCAGCAAAGGAATCATCACCAAGCATGCCCTGACACCAAGCCTATAAAATCATGAATAAAAAAGAGAAGAAGAAGATAGATAGCTCTGATTTTTGTTCTAAGTAGGCATTACTCGTACAAGGAAGCAAAAGAAAAAGGCGAATGGCTTAGCGTGAGTATCTTCCTCTATCTGGCTCCGCTGAAATACTCACCTTATTTGTTCGCTGTGTTTGTCTTTCGCATGCTACATGATTGTCATTTCCTTGATAACTCGCCCCAGTAGCATCGCATTTAACTGAAAAAAATATATATACACTTACCAAACTAAATCAAAAACAACATGATTTCGAGGTAAAGCAAAGTTTGCACTTGAGCTAAGTAGTCCAAGTGGCCTCAGTAGATGGACGTCAAAAGTTTGACAATTCCCCCTCTTTAGCATTCCGCTAATTTTCTCAGGTTTACCTGAAAATTCGTTTGTACGCATTTGTGTAACTCGGTGGAGGGGAAGAAAAGCATTGTATACGCAAAATGTCTCGCCTAACAAGGCAAAACAATCAACCGATAAAGTTTCGAACCAGGGCCCGTTTCTCGAAGGTCCCGGTAACTTAACGGACCCGTAAAGCTGTTATGTTTTCTTTCAAAATGAAGATTTCAAAAGTTTTGAAAATGATGCAATAAAACTATCAACTAAAGAAACAAAAAGGACTTGTTTTGGGTGCCAGAACCTTCTTCCCTATCCTTTGAATTTTGATTTTACAACATGGCTTCGGGCCCGTTAAGTTACCGGGACTTTCGAGAAACGGGTCCCCGACTTCTTAACCTGCCGTCCAGCGCGATAACCGCTTACTGCATCTTCCAACAGTGAGATCTCCCAAAGGAAATATATACTTTATATTTCGCGGAATACTATTGAACATAGTGAATGAGGTTGGAGGTAAGTGCTAAGAAAGAAAAAATGGTCACGATACTAACGATAACTGAAGAAAAAATATGAAAGCGAAACAAACCTTAGGAATTCAACTTACCAACTCAATCAGCACAACGAAAACAACAAATATCCATATCATCCCGTTAGCAGATAAAAACCAGCAGCTGAAGTAAATTAGGTATCGGAAACTTTGATAAATTATCAATCAGTGATTTATTTTGCGTACATGCACGTTCACAGTATCCTCTATGCCCGGTTTGCTTACAAGTAACGATGACAAGAGACATAACAAAATAAAATAAAACAAAACAAACGAAAAGGCAGAAAACGAGGATTCATGACAAAGAACTCATGGAACGGGAGAAAAAAGTCCTTCACTTCTCACCACTTTTCACTGACATAGCTTGTAATCCCCTGTTCGCTTCCTGCTGCAATGCCCAGCGATATGGAAACGACGAGAGCGGGTAGACCTGTGGATTTGAAATTCGAAGTGATTACAATGTCAAACTACAAGGCTGTGACGATGATGATGGTAGTGATGAAGGTGATGATGATGGTAATGGTAGTTATATATGTTCTGTTTTTCTTTTAAACGATTGTCGATGAGAGTATGACAAGTTTTAAATTCATTACCCCATGAAAATCCATGTGACACCTTCATCTTGTCGTTGACGTTGAAAACTTTTACAACGAACATGTATAGATAAATTCCTTCGACAAGCATCCAGCAGAAAGCGGCCATCAGGAGATACTGCACTAAAGCTGCTACTGTAACACAGGTAGACTGCACAGGATAGAAAAAGTGGCATGGACTGAATAAGTTAAGAGCAGGTTACTGTCATAAAGATTAACACAAAGAGACGCTACTTTTTTCATGTAACATCTCACCTTGTTCTCAACAGGACCAATTCCAGTTAGAAAGATAATTTGACCTGCACCAAGTGAAGTGACTAGACTCACTCGGATCTGAGATAAAGGTCCCCTCATGTCTCTAATCAAAATTAAACGAATGATTTGTAAGAGGAATCCTCAGTTCCATCCTCATTTTATACAAAGCCAGGTTATACCTTGGGAAACAAAAGATAATTCGACTTGGCTCATATCACTTTACACGTCTAAGCTGATAACAGTTCCGGTTGGATCTAAAATATCGGCTTGCTTTACAATGCTTGCGTGAAATTATGTCAGATACTTACGTAAGAACAGCATAACTGATGATTGTTAAAGTGATTACAACTAAAGAAAAGGGCAAGCCCACGAATGTAAGAATTTCCAGCGCCTTTTCGTCAGTCTTGAAAATGAATGCAAAAAACAGAGATTTGGAAATGCTAACAGAAAAAGGTGACATACCTTACACCCGGTTTAACACCGACGCGGGAAAAAGCGCCACGACGATACATGGTGCCTCCGGAAATCAATGTATGTATATTCCGCAATATCCCTACCTTAGTTAAACTGATACCGCTTGTTCCACTGTCAAACTGCATAAGAACTGCGAGTGAGTCCGATGATTGCAGCTGCACTCGGTGTAAGTTTCGTTCCTAGATTTTAGGAGACACCCTTGCCCTGACCATCTAGAGAGCATACAGAAAGCATTTAGAAAAACAGTCCTAAAATTCTCCCCCTCCACCCCCCCCCCCAAAAAAAAACAAAGCAAAACAAAACAACTGACTGCTCTATCGACCACTTCTTATACGGAAGCCTGGGAAAGAGGAGAAGGAGTAAGAAGCGAGCATACTATATGATGCGCCACTGACAAAAGCCTTACATGTATAAAAGAAAAGTCCTAGAGAAATTTGATAATTGGAGTGAACGATGTCGTTAATTAATTAAAAGTTGCTTACCTGTTCTCGAAAGTATCCCAAAACATGCAGCTTCTGTCCAAAGTTGCAGGCTAAAACCGTGAAATTACCATTAGTTTTAAGTAATTCAGCGTCTTGCGGGCTAATATGGAGGTGAGAGTGCTCTCGCCGCAATTTTTCAGACTCCTCCCCCATTTGTGATACATTTGAAGAGTTTCTTCCCGATATTTCTAGTCTAGTTTGCCTCTCTTTGAGAAGCGCCTTAAAAGGAGAGAGAGCCTTTAAGTCGTAAAAATCTAATGCTAAGAACTTAATATAAAATAAAGTCCACAATAACAGTCACAGCCAAAACGACAACAAAAGTCAACCAAAACAAGACTAAAAAGCGAAAACAATAGTACATATAAATACAAACAACGAACGAAAATGCAGACACAGAAAAGGATGGTACAGGAGAGATGCGTTAAGAGAGATTAATTGGCAAAGTTTATTCATATTATCCAAATATACCAACGATGCTTAAACTCTTTTAAATAGTTACAAACATGGGTGCAACTCTCTCTTGATTAATTACTACTTACCTTCAGGTTTTTAAATTTCAACGTGATATTCTTCCTGAGTTTGGTGTTACTTGGCCATATCGTTGCAGACAAGATAAATGTGTTGATGTTCCTAACCATGATTTCCAATAATTTTGCAAAATGTTTAGATAAAAAAGCTATTGTATGCACTTATTTAATCAAAAGTCTTGACAACTCTGTCGAACTTTGTTCTTTATGATCCAAAGTCGACAAAGCGGAATTCCTAGTGTGCCTTTTTTAATATGCATTCATTTATTTTTCTACGTATATCATTCAGATGTCAAAAGTCACTCGAAAGACCAACTAATAACAAGAATAGCAAAACAAGACAAATAAAAGTAGAAGCAAAAAGAAAAAGGATGAAAGTTATTAAAGACAAAAAAAAAATTGATAAAAAGTTATTAAAAGAAAATCAAAACAAAAGCGAAACAGAAATTCAAACTGGGATCGAGGACATTGCTCTAAACTTCCCTCGTGTAGCTTATCTGCACGCCAAAAGAGAACTATACAAACTTGAAGATACTATATATATAGAACTAAGTTTTAGCAAACCCTCTTTCGTTGAACGAGACAGAGTTGGCTTGGTTTGGCAGGAATATTTTATGGAGATCTTTGTAAATGACGCCAAGTGCTACTGATCCTAAGACGCAATAATGGAGACAATTTTAATACTACCGGTCTAAGGACGAAAAGAAGGAGTAGAGTAGACAGACATTTATATTTATAGTAAACACTGGTATCAACGGGGGTCCTGTTACCCAGCCATCCCACCCCAGGGGAGGACATCCACCACACAGTAATTTCGTGCGTGGGAAATTAACCTCTCCTGCCCTTAACCCTGCAGGAGACGGGACCTCCATTTATTCGTCCCTATCCGAGAAGACTAGAATATCTAATCATTTCTTGATGTTGTAGAAAGATAGCATACTCTTCTCAATTATTTTAAGACCCTGAGTGTTGGTCCGGCCGGAGCTCGAATTCTCGACCTCCCGCACAACAGTCCAGCGCTCTATCCATTGAGCTAACCGGGAGGCGGTTAGCTCAATGGAGGAGGAGAATCAATCACGGTCTTAAGACGTTACAAGCTTAGTGGCTAATTTAAATGGTATGCCTTACGTTTGAATAGGAATAAAATATTTCGACCTACGGACAAATAAACAAATGAATATAAACAAACAGCCAAATTAAAATCTTAGCCATCCAGTTTGAATTTTCCTTCGTACATGAAACACAACCTCCCTGTGACCAGTAGCACTCATAATCAAAACTATAACAAAATCTTCGAACCGAATTGGTTATCACTAGGATGATTTGAGCACTTATAGGACAGTGTACGCTTCATGCTTGTAATTGGACAATGTAATAGGAAGGTTAAAGGGATATTATCAAAGTAGACAGGACGTGTTATGTGCGCTCGCTATTGCCGCGCTTTTCGCCGAGTTAACTGTCGTTGTTGCTATTTTTGTTTGTTTGTTTTTTATGAAAAGNTAACTGGTTGATTTCACGTACAAATGAAAACGTGTCGCGGACGTTGTATTCACGCGGGACATGTGGCTCTAGAGGATTACAAGGGATTTTAGATAAATTGTAAATGTAGGTACCTATTGAAGATACTATGGGTCGAAAAGGAGGTGTTTCATTAGGCTGCCGAGCCTTGTGCATTTTAGGTAGCCCATAAAACCTGGCTGATTGAGAACCAGTTGGATAGATTCTCTCACA